CGACCAAGAGGTAGAAGAGGCTACAAGAAGCCCCTCCCCCTCCCCAGGCCAGAGGCTCCCTGAAGCAGATTTCTAACAAATGGATGGGGGATCTTTCTCGAGGACAGCTCCGGCAAGCGCCGCTGCTCCCGAAGGCTCCGGTACTTCGGCTGGGACATCTGCTGCGGAGACTTTAGAAAGCCCCACGGGGGGAGATCCGGGGCCGCTGCACCGGGAATGCCCACGGCCGGTCCCCTCCAGGGCCGCCCGGAGCCCCCGGAGCTCTGGCGAACGGAAGGGGCAAGGCAGCGGAGAGTCCCAGAGCGGCGGCGGCGGCTCAGGCTCCGCAGAGCGATTCTCGGGGCCTCGAGGGCTTCGGCCCGCTCCTCCACCTGGATTTCCACGCCAGAGGAAAGCCGCTCCGCCGCAAAACTTTCCTGCCCGCCCTCTGACGCCGGCCTGCCCCCCCCCCCCCCCGCCCGCTGCCGCTTCTGCTTCTGCCTTCCGGCTATACTTCTTTCGGCAGGGCTGGCACTGGAGCTCCGCGCTCCCTCCCTCGTCACACACACACACACACACACACACACACACACACACACACACGCGATGCTCGCGGCTCCCTGCCTAGTTTAATCCAGGCTGAGTCCTACACGCCGCTCTTTCTGCTCGGCTCTTTACTCCCAGGCGCGTGGCTGGCGCTCCTGGGCGGCGCACTGGGCGGGTCCACCTGCGCGGGCCGGAGCGGCCTCTCTTGCGCAGGTAGGGCGCGGGCGAAGTGGCGACTGCTGGGCGAGGAAGCGGGTGGCGGCCAGGGGCCCGGTCGCGCCCTTCGCTTTCCCGGCGCTGGCATGCCTGGAAGCCAGGACCTGCGGAGCCGCTGCCGGGGAGCCCGGAGGAGGAGGAGGAGGTGGGACGCGAGGACTGCGGGGCGGGGGCTGCGCAGGAGGGCCGGGGCGGTACGAGGGGAACCGCTCGCCCGGAGGGGATCGGACTGGGGACGGGGGAGGCGGGGAAGCCGAGCGCCTCCCGGACTCCGCGGTCCCGCAGCCCTGCTTCGCGGGTTAGTGTCGGCCGGTCATTCTCTCGGCTCAACCCGCCTCGCAGGGTTGTTGTGTGGGGAAAATAAGGGGCCGGAGCGTTAGCTATGTTTGCGCCTATAAAAAAGTCGGGATAAAATCATAATAAAGCTAACCCGAGTTGCTGACATTCTGCTCTTGAATCTGAACGTCAGCGGTGCATGAAAATTGGAATTAGTAGAAAACAGTCCAGCAGAAGCTGTGTGTGCTTTTGGACACATTTTTTTTTCTCAACTGCTTGCAGTTTTTTAAAACATGGATGCTGACTACAGTATTCACCTCGCGTGGAAGTCGATTAGGCTTCTGTCTAATAACATGCAGCGATTAAGCTACGATGGACATAATGGGAGTAATTATCGAAAAAAAAAGCATGAGCAGAGTACAATTTTTATTGTTGGGGAAAATGTGCTAAATTATGATAGGATATTGGAAAAAACCATTTAAGGTTAGTCTGACAGCAAATAAACTGATTTTACTTCAGAGAAAATGTAGATAAGGGTTACACTATATACTATTTCTGAAATTATTTTCAACAATTTATACAAGAAAGTTTGCTGTTTTTTTAAAGGTCTCTTTAGAATGTGTGCTTCTCAGTAGGCACTTTGGGAAATTCATCTACACAGGAAAAGAAATGTGAACGCATATATATATATATATATATATATATTGCTATATCATTTTTTGGATGCTGCCAGAAAGGAATTGAGGATTATGACAGGATTTACTAGAAATATTTCAGCAATGTAGGCAAGAAGCCGCATAGGTGAGAAAATGTCCAATGGGTATTGTATTGCATGATTTTTGTATCAGCCCTTGTTGTGATTTTATTTTCCCTGAAAATGTGTTTGTATTCATCATGACAGCAGCAGATTGCCTGCTGCCCTAAGGGCTTCCAAGGAGAACTTCTATCTGGAAGGTTGAGTTTTCTGTTTCTGTTTCTCCTTTTCTGCTAATATCCATGGTCAAACTTAATTATCTTCCCCTCTATTCCTTTCTTTTCCCCCCTCAAGGATGGGTCAGAGGGTGCAGAAAACACAACACTAGTGCAGTTTGATTCTAAAAATGTGTTTGGAAGTTCAGGAGACAGGCTGTGTGTGGGATGGGGGTGGGGGGAGGCTTCATGCTTTTATTATGCAGTAGATTTCTAAAATGTAAACTATCCGAATCAACGATGTCTGTGTTGGGCAGCTATATACATTCGTTTAATAAAAAATAGTAAAAATAAATATTGCCTCCTGTTATAACGAGTATGAGATTCAGTGCTGCATGTCCCTTCAACAATCCTTGGCAAGATTTGTAGCAGCCTTTGCTCAAGGTCTCTGGAGAGATTGTTTTAATGGTTTTTGCAAAACAGAGTGTTAATCTAGGTTATCAAGGGTCTTTCTTGGTTTGACTACTTAATTTCTCCCAACCAACCAAGAATCTGTTCAATAATTATTTATTTGATTTCTCTCGTTCTAGAACTCGATTGTCCAGACTTCAAGAAAGCCTCCCAGTGCTGTCTTGCTCATTTCTTCTGCTTTCTGAAGAATAGGGTCCAGCTCTAAACAAAACGTCTTCTCCCAAAGATGGTGAAAAGCAGATTTATGGAACAATCCACAAACTTCCATGGTCTGTCTAGGGACTTGGAGTTTAAAATGGTTGCTTCCTTTGAGGGGAGGAGAATGAACAGCCGTGAAATGGAGAGCTGTCAGAACAGAAAATCTGTGTTATTTGAGAAGGCAAATTGTCTACAGGAGAAAGCAGCCTACAGCGAGCTCAAGGATGGAAGAACTGCGGAGCACATATTAAGGGAACCCTGCTGGACATTTGGTACTAGGACACATTTATTAGTAAAGGATGTGCTGCGACAGAAGGAGAGTGCATTCACTGAAGTGAGAAGGTCTGTAGAGAAAGTCAAAGAGGCAGAACAAGGCAATAGGAAGGCTGGTTTGGACAAAGCTGCAGTCCAGTGTTCCCCTGGTAGCGCATACTCCTTTGTGTGGCCCAACAGCATTGCTGGGGAACCCAAAAGTGCTTTCAGCAAACCAGCCAAGTGCTGGGAAGACGGAGGGGCTCTGGCTGCTTTTCAACCTCTAAAAAGTATCAAGGAAGGAAGCCCAAGGAAATTGTCAGAATGCATCGCTGCCACTGACCTCATGCCGCACAGTGGCTGCCTCGCTTCCAGGTTCCTGGTAAACGATTCAGATGGTTTCCAGCTGCTGTCGACCAACCTCATTAAGAGCAACCCATTCGCTTTCTCTTCAGCTCCGTGGCCAAAGGAAGCAGATGAGCAGATGCAGGCCAACCCTGCTTCCGGCTGCAGCCTCTCCTCCTCTGCCTCCTGGGCTCTGCTGCCTCCCAGTTTCGCCCCTCTCAGTGTGGCAGCCCAGAACTGGTGTGCAAAGTGCAGCCTCTCCTTCCACATGACCTCAGACCTTGTGCTGCACATGCGTTCCCATCACAAAAAGGTCGAGGTCTCGACAGACTCCCAAAGGAAAAGGAGGCGGGAGGAAAAGCTGTCCTGTCCTGTTTGCCAGGAATATTTTCGAGAAAGACATCATTTATCTCGGCACATGACTTCACACAACTAGCCTGCAGATTGTGTGCAGACATTGATTGAATTCCATTGTGATTTTACTGCATTTAACCAGAATCTTTGAAAGGCAGCCTTTTATATAGAAGCGTTAAGAAGAAATGTAATTACATCAGCTACAGATAGCTCAAGTTCTGAAAATGAAACTCTGGAAATACACTTATAAGGAAATAAACAGTGACATGTAAAGAGAAAAGTTTTGCTTTCTACAGTTCCATTTTTTTCACCTTAAACTATGAAAATGTTGATAACATTTTTTTTTCTTTAGTAATTTGAAGCAGCAACTTTTTCCATGTCAGAGCCATTATGGAATGAAATTCTTCCCTAGCCTAGGATTGAAGTAAAGGATAAAATTTATTTTAAGTTAAAGTTGATTCCTGGTGACCATCAAAGCAAATCAATGTAATTTTTCCGATGTGATAAAACGGCCTTCTTCAGTTGTGCAACACAGTGCTGCACCAGGCAGTGACAGGTGTCTCTGTCTCTCTCTGTGTGTATCTCAACAAGGACTGAATAGGTGAGGATGGAAGTGCCAGCTTCCCAGTTCACACCCACAACTTGTCTGTAAGCTTTCAAATGAAGGCACAGTGATTAGAGTAAGAGAAGCAGGAAGCATCCATTTAGGGCATCAAATCCAGTGCAGGAGTCCAAATTAAACCACTCCTAACAGGTATCTAATTTTTCAGCCACATCATATTGTGGATTATGGATAGCACTGGTAGCATAAAAGTTCAAGGTTACCTCTGAATTGGTGATAGCTTGCCTCCATGTACCAATTTCAGGGAGCAATTTTACCTCCTCAAGTTATATTTAAGAGCCGGTTTGGGTATCAATATTCTTAATATAAACATGGACATAATGCCTTTGGTCCATATATTTTTCTGCAGTCAAGATCATAAAGAAATTTGTTCTATCAGAAGTCTGAAACAAAGCTGTACAACTATTGGTAAAAGGTATTCAATGGCCAAATGCTAATGCAAAGTGCTTTTATTTGCATTTTACCTTACTTTTTTCTGCTTTGTTTATACTTCCAAAATGTAACATATGTTCAAAGCCTCTTGAAGTGACATCAATTTTATTTGCTACAAAAATGGGTATATTGCTCTCTATATAAATATATATTGTACTATATAAAAATATATATTGCACTAGCCAATTTGGTTAGTAGTTAAGCATCAGGCTAGAAAGCAGAGTTTGTGCTGACAGTTATATACAAATAATAAACATGTTACTAAAATGTATAAACTTTTGTTGAAATTTGAGACAAAGGAACAAATGTATAATAAAATGGGCTAAAAATGTTGGTTATACAAATGGATCGATGGGAAAATGGACACATAGGCTAATTCAGAAGATTTTAAAAGCTAAAGTACAGTTGAACCCAGAGGCTTTTATTTTGGAACTAATGGATACACAGCTAGAAAAAAAGACACAGAATGACTACTGCAGCGAGATTATTATATGCTCAAAAATGAACAGTTTCAACACTACCCATTAAAGAAGGAATGGTTGGTGAAGATGATTGGACTTTCATAGATGGCTAAATTGACTTCCTTGATCAGAGAAAAGACCACATCTGCATTTATGGCTGATTGGATATCCCCGATGGAGGTTTTGCATGACACAGAAAAATGCACTTATGATTTGTGGTTTTGATGATTAGAAAAAAAAATAATAGAAAAAAGTTAGCTTTTCTTTTTACAACTAGAGATAATTGTGTAACTGTATTTGTATTTGCTGCAAAGAGAATCAGAAGCTGCCTCTTTCTATTTCTTTTTCTTTTTTCCTGCAATTTGTCTTTTCTTTCTTTTTTCTTTCTTTATTCTATATTAGTTTTTGTTAGTTTGTATCTTCTCTTTAAAACTTAAAAAATACATATTCTAGGGCAGTGATGGCTAACCTTTTTGCCATCGTGTGCCAAAAGCGGGGGGAGTGCGTGGGGGGGTTGTTGCACTCACGTGTGCCCACACCCATAATTCAGTGCACCCCGCTCCCCGCGCGTAGGCATGCGTGACACCCCTGCGCTCCCCCCGCTTTTGGCACACGATGGCACGGTGGGCCCAGTAGGCCCGTTTTTCGCCCTCCCCAGGCTCCAGAGGCTTACTTGGAGCCTGGGGAGGGCGAAAACAGCCTTCCCCATCCCCCTGGAGGCCCTTCGGAGGCCAGAAATGGCTTATTTACCGACTTCCGGTGGGACTGGAAGGCCCATTCTTCGCTCTCCCCAGCCTCCAGAGCCTTTCTAGGAGCCTGGGGAGGGTGAAAATGCCCTTCCCTCCCCCGGAAGCCCTCCAGAGGCCGGAAATAGCCTTCCAGTGTGCCCGGAAGGCCCGAAAATCAGCTGAGCTAGGACAGCACTCGCGTGCCCACCGATATGGCTCTGCGTGCCACCTGTGGCACGCGTGCCATAGGTTCGCCATCACGGTTCTAGGGATTTGGGGATTTCAAGTTATATTCTGAAACACAGTCTGAAATTGGGAGGATGGGTTAATATTTCTTGCTTTCCTCCTTCTCCTTCTATATTTTAACTATTTATAGAAGACTTGGAATGATGTGTTGTCTGGCATGAATGTGCAAGGCCAAAAATTTAGTCTCAAGGGTAGGGGAGGGAACCGGATGCCCTTTTGCCTTCATGCAAACTCCTGGTTTGACCCACTAATCTAACTCAAACTATGGAGGTGGGAGACAAGGATCTCTTTGGCTTGGATGAGGGATTTCTCAATGGGAACCGCCACGTGAGGATCCACTCCAACCCCCTCCCAAGAGTCCTTAGAAGAAATTGTGGATCTAGAAGTTGGAATGGTGACAAAGAGGCCGGTTCTGTCCACTTGAAATGTCTGAGAGGGGAGGCAACCCCCGCTGGTCCTTTGTCCAATGATCAAGGCTCTGCCCAGCCTCTTCATGATGGACACAAATTGTTCAGCAGTCCCAGCAGTTGCAGAGCTGGTGAGAATGACCACGCTCTTCTCAGAGCCATATCTTTGACCTTGAAGAGACAGGAGAAGATGCAAAAAGTTACCCACAGTCTCACCAAACATTAAATTTGATCAGAACCCATATTAAAATTAATGTCCCTCTATGAATTTATAAAATGAGAATAAATACTGTAATTAATGTTATGCATATACTGTACAGGGCAGCATTCCTCAACCTTAGCAAGTTTAAGACATGCGGACTTCAACTCCTAGAATTCCCCAGCTAGTTAGTATATACCAGTGGTCGGCAAACTCATTAGTCAACAGAGCCAAATATCAACAGTACAACGATTGAAATTTCTTTTGAGAGACAATTTTTTAAAACTTAAACTATATAGGTAGGTACATTGTTATTAACTTAATTAGTTCTTTTTAACTACAATTAAAAAGTAGGGGGAAGGGGATGCAACACGCGGAAGGCCAGGTCCACTCCCGTTCACCTACCCACACTTGTTTACCCGTCCCAGAGAGCTCGGGCTACGCCTCCCTCCGACCCAGCCGCCTTCCTTGCTGGCGTCGCTCCTGAGCGAACTCTTCTGTCCTCAGCTGTTGCAAAGAAGCGGCAGCTCTGGGTGCGCCACGCCTGCTTCGTTCTCTTTGAGAGCTGCTTTGCACCTTGTTTGCAAAGCAGCTCTCAAAGAGAAAGAAGCGGGCATGGCTCACCCAGAGCTGCCGCTTCTTCGCAACAGCTGAGGACTTCTTCCGCTTGGAGCTCCAAGCTGCGGGGAAGGGGAGAGGCGGCTGCAACACCGGCAGCTTCAGTGGGCTCTTTCCCTCAGTGATTTGTTTTCTTTTACCTAATTAAAGGCTGCTCTGCACCTTTTGATCTTTCTCGGGCACGGAGAAAAGCGACCCTGTGTGAAGGGACTGAGAGGCTTCTTTTCTACCCAGCCACTGGCGCACAGCGCCGAAAAGATCTCCAGTCACTGCCGTCATCTTCGCGCATGCACAGCTTTTTTCTCACCGGCTGAAGGACTTTTCAGCACTTTGCGGACTTTTCGGTATTTTGTGGAAGAGCCACACTCAAGGGGCCAAAGAGCCACATGTGGCTCGTGAGCCGTGGTTTGCCAACCACTGGTATATACAATACAGGTAGTCCTCACCACCATTCATTTAATGACTGTTCAAAGTTACAATGTCACTGAAAAAAGTGACAACCGTCCTTCTCCCATACGACTGTCACAGCATCCCCATGATTGTGTAATCAACATTTGAGCATTTGGCAACCGGCATGCATTTATGATGGTGGTAGCATTCTGGGGTTGTGTGATCGCCACTTGCTACCTTTCCGGCTGTCTTCTGACCAGCAAAGTCAGTGGGTGAAGCTAGATTTGCTTAACAACCCCATGATTCACTTGGCTGCAATGCATCTGACACCCTGCCCCTGTGTGCTGGACCGTCTCTGAGGCCTCTTTCGATAGTCTGCAGCGTAGGTCCTGTCCTGCATGGCGAGCCCTGCTTCTAGGGACCTAGTGCTTAGGAATGACTAACCTGGCTTTGGCTCTCTGTGCCTATTTTGCTCTGGGGTTATTCCAGTCCATGACCCATGTTTGCCATAGGTTAATATTTGATAAGATTAATGTGCTATCTTTAGCCACAATGTGCAGTAAGTAAAGAGAAATACTGACATTCACAACTTCAGATGTTGTTACCTAAAAGTTGGGAAGGAGTCCAAAGGTCACTGGTAGTATTATTTGGTCTGTAGTAGACTTTGTCCAGTAAAACTGGATGTCCTTCATCAAAGAAGTAAGAGCATAGAGTTGCTACAGAGGAGATGGGCCCTCCAGTGTTGTACCTGGTGAGGCATGGAAGACTTTTTGAGAAGTAGGCACTGACAAGGAAACCTGACATAGAGGCACCCTTACGTTACCACAACTTCTCGTCTCTGATCCCCCCAAAGCAGTTTGAAAATGATCCACAATTAAATCTTGAAATGCTCAGAACAAAGACGTCTTGACTGCCCTAAGCGGCAGCCATAAAAAAAACCCCACAGACAGAAAATTCTAAGTCTTTGATTCCATATAACAGTCATATGAATTTTTCTAGTCAGGATCTCATAACCCAACTCCAGTTAAAAGAGAAATTAGCTGTTTGTTTCACACTTCCCCATACCTGTTCTTATGTCTTGTCTGAAATTTTAAAAAAAATTGTCTGCTTGTGTATGTAAAAAAGTCATCAAGTCACAATTAACCTAGAAAGATTTGAAATCCTGGAACTCAGGACAAAGCAAGACTTTGTAGTCTATCTACGAGCTCTACAAAACTACAGCACTTAATAAAAAGCAATTAGTTTTATTATTCCAATATTGCTTTGGGAGAAATAAATTGTCAGATTTCAGCTGACGTCATGGGAGCCCAAAGGGCCCCTACTAGTTCTGAACGGCTGCAACATCCTTATGAGAAAATACCAAGACCTTCCACAGTCTAATAAAAGTGGCTGAACAAGATGTGCTCAGGCTGTAGCACTTTTCATGCGCCCAGAAAAAAGGCTTCTGCCATTCCACCTATGTTTTATATTGATAAAAAGGCTTTCTAGAGATCTGCTGTATAACATCAGATATCCTGATTGTGCTAGGTTTGTGCTTTGTGAAGGGCTGCAATTGCATTGAGGAAAACATTGCTGCATCTTCCCACTGAAATAAAGGTCACAACATTTATTTCAAATTCAGGAGACTGGAGCTTCTGTACCTCGATCACACATATTTTGGGATAGATCCCAGGAGGTAGAACTTCGGGTGTATTGTTATTATGCCCTCTATCCCGGTACCCAACCTCCATCCTTGCATTTGTCTTAAAGGGTAATAAATACATTTCCTCCTGCAAGGAACACATAGCTCATAATCTGGTCAATGATGGCCTCACAAGGTACACTGCAATTATGTTAGGCCCAGGAATTAAATTTGACAAATACCTTTATAGCAAAGCATATATTTCAAAAGTTTTATCTTCATTGCTTATTCTGCTTAGGACAGATTATTTACCTCATGTCGATGATTAGTGCATTAGTGTGGACAACCTTCTTCCAGATGCGTTCCACCATCAGCTCAGAGAATTGCGGCCAAAGCTCACTCTCCCCAAATGTATCAAATCGGAGGTAACCAACATTATTCTCAAACACTTTGGTTTGGAACGAAAACTTAATGTGGTCTTCTAACATTTCTGAGGAAAGAATCTGAAATATTTTTTAAAAAATAAGTAGTTAATTTTCAAGAATAACACGGGAAATATGAGAATCCACCTTGCATTAAAATAACACATCTTGCAGCTAGAGAGTTGGTGTGAACAGGACTGAAACCCTTACTCAAATTAGTCAACATTCCTCAGTCAACATCACAGCACTATGTCAAGAATAAATAAATAAGTCAATGAAAATCACTCGAACTAAAGATTATCTATTTAATGTCCTTTCTAATTTGTATTTTAATGAAATTATTATCAGGAACTAGTCATACCAGGCCTTCTGGGATAAGTCTGTTAATATTATTTTATAATTTTAAAAATCTCTTATTTATAGTAAGCATACTGCTTGATTAAAAACAAAATCAGAATGTAGTACTATACCAACTTGTTAAGCTGGGCACATGTAATTTCAATTTCAATAGCTCAGTTAAGCACCAGCATAACACAAGGAAAGTTTCAAGTTGAAAAATAAGATTTAAAATGTGAGATAACATATTAATAACACAATGAGAGTCCTAGGACAGAACTACAGAGTATGGTTACCCTCTATCAGTATCTAAAATATTACACCCATACACTCAAAATTATAAGTGAATACTGTAAGTGTGAAAAAAATTAGAAAAGGCTGCATCGTTGCCAATACTATAATTAGAGTAAAAGCGAGACTAAAATTCATGGAGCTGCATAGTTAATTATAAATACAATTATGATAGTAAAATCTGGAAATCACTATGATACTTACTAATTAATAGTTTCAAAATGCCTGTCCTAGTTTTCATTTTGCTAAAAAAAAATTAAAGACATAAAGACAAAAACCAAAACTACTTAGGGAAAACAATAAGATAATGTAACCAAACACAGTAAACAAAATAATATTAACTGAGCTGTTACAGTGTAAACTTAGGAGAGTGCTACTTGAACAAATCCAGTTCTTGAGGCAAATCCAAAGGGATTTATCCCATCGTAGTAAATATGTATTCATACAGGTTTTATGTCAGTGGCTAACGAAAGGCACTTACTTGCATGGGCATGATCCCTGGAATATGGTTGCGCAGGTGCTCGGGAACATGGGTTATTTTCAAGTGTTTATCTCCAGAAAGCGCTTTTAGGTCAGCTGCAATTTTTTCAGCAAGCTTCGTTTCACAATTGATCTTCTGGTACGTGTCTCTTTTGGCATCCTCAGAAAGTTTGTCTGCCACTAGAGCCCCAACATCAGCAAAAGCATAGTTGTCAGCCACCAGTTTGGCCACCGTCTGCAAAATGTTGGGGAGGTTGGAGCGCAAAGCAATGATGTTCAGGGCAGAAGTCATGGCTTCTGAAGCCTGATTGGTGACATGTGGCTGGACGCCAGAGAGGCTCCACACTTTGCCTGTGACGGGACTCAGCACTACCTTGCTGGGGATGGAAGCGTACAAGGGGCTGTTGCCCAAATGGTAAACATTTGCGGACAGTGAGCCCCCCAACGTGGGCTCCCCAATGACCGTGGCCCGATTGAGATCCTTTAGAGAGCGAGCGAAGGCTTCTGCTGCTGATCCACTCACGTGACTAATTAAGATATAGATATCCTTCGCCGAGCCATATCGTTTGCCAGAGAGATGTGGCAAAGTCCACACCTCCATGCTTTGAGTGGTGCTGCGGTCAAAGAGCGTGTAAAGATGCTGCTGGGGCTCACTGTCAAAGAAATAGGAACAAAAGATGGGCACTGCGGTGGAATAACTGCCCGTGTTGTAGCGCATGTCAACAATCATAGCTTCTGTGGTCACAAGCTTGTCCCAAATGTGCAACAGTTGGGGTCCAATGGCCTTCACCATTTCTGCTTCAGCCATCAAGTCAAAACGCAGATATCCTACATTGCCAGTCAAAATGTCTACCTTGAATAGATCCTCAATTATGTAGCGGATCTCCTCGGGGGTCAAAGTCTTGTTAGGAAGTTGTTCCTGTAAGAAAGATTCGACATGGTTGTAAGATGTATGCAACTGGTGATCCCCAGAAGCTTCTTGAAGGTCAGTGGTCAACTGCAAGGCAAGCATTTCAAAATCCACTGCTGTGCGATAGCCTCCTTGAGCCAGCTTGGAGTTTAGCATGCCTCTTGCCCGCGTGGCCACCTCTGGTATGGCGTAATGTGCTTCAAGCAACAGCCCGAGTTCCTTGATCAACGCTCCCATCTCTCTGTGGAATGCCAACACTTCTTGGGCTTTCTCCAAAGCCTCATCGGCCAGCACGATGGCATCAGGCACCACTTCACCATCCAGCCAATATTCACCATGGTGGTCAATTAAGGTGATGAATGGCACATTGATAAAGAGACCGCAGCCTTCCTCTTTTTTTACCCTGAGTATGCAGAAGGGGTGCGAGTGGGCCAGGCTGCCAGCAGTAATTTCACCAATCAGAGTAGCCCGGCCGAGGGATTGCATCAGGTAGGCAAACTCCTCTGCCGTTGTAGCTGTGAGGTAGCTGGTGAGTAAATAGATGCCACGCTGGGTCCCATAGGGCTTGCCTAGCAGTTCAACTCTACTGTTGTAAACGTAGGTCTGGTTTGTGAGTCTGTTATAGGTGGCAAACAAATGCACAGGACCGGCAGAGGGATCTTGGAAGTAAGATAATAGGACTGGTACAGCATCTGAAAATGGTCCACCCTGGTTGTAGCGCAGGTCAATGATCAAATAATCTGTTGCCTGCAAAGGTTCCCAGACCTGATTGATGATATAGGGCTCCAGCTTGATCAGCACTCCAGCATCGGGAAACTGATCAAAACGCAGGTAGCCCACATTTTCAGATAGCACTGACACTTGAAACACAGCAGCCAGGATTTGTTTGAGTTGTTCGCCATCCAGCAGCTCTATGTTCATGTCCATCGGCTCCTCAACTGGCATAACCATAGCCTCACCGGTTGTGGTAGTCCACAAGAAAAGTCGTGGGTCTTTGGAGATGCTTTGCAATTCGGTATTCAGTTTGAAAGCCAGATCTGTTTCTGACAGGATGGCTGAATAATCAAACGCAGAGAGTTGTTGCAGTAATGCTGGCACCTGTTCAATTATTGAGTAATTGTTCTGCAAGACATGCATCAAGCGACTGACGCTGTCAGGAATCGCTTTGCGAAAGGACAGAATGGCCAGGGCATCACCCAGGGCTCGCTCTGCTGGAACGGCCACACTTGGCATCACCCCACTCAGTTCCCAGCTCTGGCCACTGCCACTTAAGGGGCTCATAGAACACAACACAGGAACAGTCATGTAGAACTGGGAAGCCCCAATTTGCAATTTACGGAGGTCCAAGGAGCCGCCTGCTGTCCTTTCGCCCACTATGATGGCCCTGTGCATTTGCTGCAGGATATAAGCCACATCTTCGGCCACCCCAGAGGTGTGTTTACTGGTCAGCAAAACAACTTCCTTGTTCTTACCGTATCTCATGCCCAGCACTTTTGGAAAGGTCCATATTTCCATAGTGCTATTAGAAGGCCGGTTGTAGACAGTGTCCACGTGCAGCAGTTTGTCCTCATTGTACAAGTAGGAGATGATGAATGGAAGGCCCGAGATCTTTCCTCCAGTGGTATAACGCAGGTCTAAGACAAGAGCTGATGTCTCCATCAAGGGCTTCCACATCTTTTCTACCAGGAAAGCACCAATTTGCTGCACCATGTTCTCCCCGATGATGTAGTCTATTCTTAAGTAGCCTACATTATCACCCAGCACTTCAGATTTGACTGTGTGCTGGATAACCTCTAAAAGTGCTTCTAATGGTAGAGAAGCATCCACTTCTTGCTCAGGGACTGCAGGAGCCAAAGCTTCATGCGATACTACCAGCCGTGGATCGTTCAAAGTTCCTTGAAGTCCAGCTGTTAGAGCTGTTGCCAAGATTTTAGGATCTGAGATATCCAAAGTCTCCCCACCCTTGATGGCTTGTTCAATGGCTTCCTGCATTCCCACCAGATTTTCTGGAAAACAATAATTGTCCAACAGAATCTTGGCCATGTCCAGCACCAGGGTGGAGTGTGAGACACTCTCAATATGGATGCTACCAAATATAAGTGCCATTCCGAACAATAAATTTCTTTTCATGCTGTTAAAAAAGTGCAAATGAGTTCCAAACAATTTACAGACTGTGAGAAATGCAGGTTCTTCCTACTTGATCTCAGAAGTGAATATTAAATCAGAGAGGCTGAATATCCATTTTAGCTGACAGTAATCTTTAAATCTAGTTCTAAGTCTTTAATCTTATTAAACAGGAGGGCATGTAGCAAGGTGCAGCTTTGTTCTGTAGTACAGCAACCACCTTATGAAACCACTGCAACAGCCTTCAAATTGTGATTAGACCACTCAGTTATGATTTCATAATGCTTCAGTTCACTAATTTCTGAGATAGATGCTGTCTACTAGAATCTGGATCAGACTGTACTTGTTTTTAAAAAGTTTAAGTGACCAATCTGGATATAGTAAACAAAAATAAATTAATACAATTAGGTTGTTAGAATGCTTCAGTAAACTGTTGAATCTGACTTTTAGATTAAAATGAATGTGTTGTTAGCTGTTTAAAACAATTAACAATCTTTATGTTCCACTGACATAAAGGAGTCCTTGTAGTGCCTTATATAGTAATATTGGCAGCCGCAACAACACAAAGGTTCACACAAAACAAAAACATTCTACCTAGAACATTCATTTTTGTCATTGAAATTCTTTTCAGCAATGGCAACTGTAAACTATCTTAACACATCTTTATAAGGGTGGATGTTTGTTCTCCGAGCTTGTGGGTTGGCTTTTGGACATTTCATTACCAGGCTAGGTAACATCTTCAGCAGAATTTAGGGGATGTCAGTGTCAATGTTCTTCTGCTTATAAGGGCTTATAAATATAAGAAAGAAGGTTTTTGCATTAAATATGACGATGGCTCTGTGTGGAACAAGACAGAAAATGTTAGAAATAATTGGAAAATTTTATCCAGAGCTATACAAAGATCAAGATCACTCAAAAGTAACAATACCCACAAAAAAGGAAATGCCAGATATCCTAGTGGAGGAACTATCAAGTGCCATAAAATCAATGAAAAATGGCAGAGCTTCGGGAAATGACTGTGTTATGTTTGAAATGCTGAAAGCTGGTGGTCATAGTTTACACAAGATACTAGTAAAACTATACTCAAGATGCCTCATAGAAGAAAAAATACCCAACTCATGGAAAAATGCTGAAGTGATTCTTATACGCAAGAAAGGGGCCTAAGATGATTTAAAGAACTATTGCCCAAGAAGCCTTCTTTCAGTCATCTGCACCACTGGTTTCACCAGTGGTGAAATCTGAATCAGTTTACTACCAGTTTTCTGGCTGCGCATGCGTGCTGTGCACCAAACGTGTGCTGTGCGCATGCATGCACCAAATGCGAGGTGCACGCATGTGCAGTGCCCAACAAAAAGAAGCATTGGGTAAGTAGAACAGCGCGCGCGGGGGGGGGGTGATCAACTGTAGCGTGCAATCTTCAGAGCCTTTTTTTTACTTTTAAAAGCATTTTCTACTACCAGTTCCAGAGAACCGGTAATAAAAAATGCCTAAAGAGTAAAAAAAAAGTTCTGACGATCAGCTGAGTGACGATCTTCAGAATTTTTTTTTTTACTTTTTAAAGCATTTTTAACTACCGGTAACCCTGGGGGGTGCGGGGTGCATGTGGGAGGCGCATGGTCATGGGCGGGGGGGCGCACACACATGCATGGGGGGCAGGGGTCACGCGCACATGCGCAGTGGCGGGGGAGCGCGGGGTGTGGCTCTCCCCCCCACAGCCCATTTTTGGGCCCAGGAGTCTGCAGGGTGGCCTACTATGCCCAAAATGGGGGGCAGGGGTACTGCATGCCCATCCCATGGCCCTTTTTTGGGCCCAGGAGACTGCAGGGAGGCCTGCTAGGCCTAAAACAAGGAGCAAGGGAGTGCCCCCCCCCGTTTTTGGGTCCAGGAGGCTGCAGGGAGGCCTGCTAGGCCCGAAATGGGTGGCGGGGGGTCACACGCACATGCATGGGGGCAGGGGAGCAGTGTGGTCTTGTGCACATGCGCATTATGGGTTCTGGCACACATCTGCGCTTTCGGCACATGACAAGAAAAAGGTTAGCCATCACTGGACCAAGGCCTTTGATGGGGGGAAAAATGTCCTGCTCTAAAGACATAGAAGCCCTCCTAGCACTTAATCCTGGGGTGAAGTAAGACTAAGGTCAGGGATGGAGCTTCTTCTTTGGCCAACTAGTTTGTAATGGACCAGCGTTTGACCTGCGGTTGTTCTGGGGACTTTTTCAGTGAGGGACATTTGCTTCATTACAATATTTGCTTGACTGATAAAAAACTATATACATACAGCACACACCCATCACGTCATTCACTCTCAGACCAAGCAGCATTATGCCAAGAACTGAAGAAGAGTAAGAAATAGTATTTTATAATTTAGCTAAAAACTTTGTTGTTATCACTGCTCCTGGCTGTACTCTGCACTATCCCCAGAATGCTGCTTAATCCTGAGGTGACTTTGATCTTCATAACTGTAATCAATTAGGATTTACTTGTAATACCACCCCTGAACATATGGCTGCTGGTATCAAGACAAATAGATCTTGACAGACTGAAACCGTTGGCGTTATTTCATTTGTCTTAGACGCTTTGGCTAGTGATAGAAAGAGATAGAAAGAAGGAATCACAGCAATTCTGGCTGGAGGGCCCTAGGTGGGTACAGGAATGTGATTTGTTTTTAGGAAGATGTGATGGCACGAGAAAGCCTTTGTCTGCAACCTAAGAGAGAGAAAATTAAATCATCCCTACCTCTGCTGATCACATGGCCCCAGTTAATCCTGAAACGCTTACCCTGAGCACAGGAGCCCAGCGGGAGCCCACCCACCTTAGCAATTCCACCCACCTTGTAAAGCAGCCCCCACCTCCTGCGGATGCTGAACTGAGCCGGTGGGCACCAATGGGAATTGGTGAAGGTAAAGCAATATCCTGTTGCCTTTGCTTACAACAGAAGGTGTGTGGAGGTAAGGGCAATTGTGTTGTAGGCAACATTATTTGTACTTGGGAATTTCATAAATAGTTGCCCCTGATTCCCCTCATCTTCTTAGCAATACTTCTTTAGGTATCTGGAGTAAATCACAGAGACTGACTTGTAAGCACATTGAAAACTGCAGTAATTATGAACAGTCAGCATAGATTTGTCAAGAGCATGTCTAAAAACAGAAATAAGGTTCGTCGGACTAACCTTATTTCATTTTTCTGACTGACTTTCTTAATAGGCTGTGGGAATACTGTAGATGTTATCTCCAATTTAGCAAGGCGTCTAACAAAAGGTCCCAGGATAGTTAAGTATGGGCTGAATGGGTTGGCAGTTCAGTGGATACACAACTGGTTTAAGAAGCAGCCTATTCAGCAGCTGCTCTCGACTGGCTGGCCAGAGGGGTCAAGTGGGATATTGCAATACTTAGTCCTTGGCCTTTTCAGCCAGCTTATTGTTAAAGGAATGATGATCAGCTATACAGGTAATCCCCAGTCAACCTGCTCCATGCGTGCACCTTTGTGAAGGAATGCAATTTCCTCTATGGGGAATCCTGGGTGTCTTTGTGAGGAAGAAATTCCTGACAGAGACCGGGGCTTCTGTCTGTTGCTTGTCTAGTCTGGCCAAGATTCTACTGGGTTGCTCAATCACGTGCAGCCATACGTCTTTCCTGGTGATTGAAGAACTCTGTTCATTTTTTAATTTTACTTTTTTATAATTATCAGTATATGTTTGTGGGTGTGGGTGTGTCTATCTGTTTTAATTGTATTTTATTTATGGCCATAATAAAGATTGATTGATTGAGGAAGGGCTGATTTTTAAATACAAATTTTCCATGATTATTCTCAACTATTTTTGAGTAAGTTTAAAATGTACTTCTAAAATAAAAAATAAAAAAATTGGTTGAATAATTGATCCCATTTTCAAAACAGGAAGTGAAGGTTCAGGAAAGAAAAGTTAAAGAACTACAGCCGGACAGAAATATAGCTACAATCAATATTTCCAACCAAAGAAAACAAACAAAAACAGTCGAAGGAAGCGCAAAACTCCATATTTCATATTAATATAATTTTAATATACTGTTTTGGATTCTTCTCAGTGATGGGGACAAGATATATGGAGGGAATATCACCCTTTTCCCACTACATGAAAGAGATGCTGGAGACTCCCCTTGAGCCGGAGGAGTTGAAAAATTATAGCCTGGCCTCAAACGTCTCCTTTGAGGCTAAAGTATAGTGGGAAAGGGAGGGGGTTCCTGATTCCGGATTTATGTTCAATCCCAGCGCATTCCAGAAGTTATTGATTATTTGGACCCATTTTAATAGGGCTCCTGTATTGGCTAATAAGGATTTCAAAGTTTATATTATGCATAGATATAAATATGTGACATTTTAAAGTTTTGAACTTCTTTTTATTATTTTATATTTTCTTGACTGTAAGAAGCCCAAAGTATCATGGGGATAGAAAGGCAGGGTATCAATTGAAATTGAAATTAATAAATAAAATAAGAATGTGAGTCTCCCCAGCCCTCCTGTTTCCGTCTACTGACACATTCACTTTCAGTGAGCAGGTTGTAGGAAGTTAGGACCCACCCCTCTCCTAGAAAAACAAAATATTCCAGGAAATATTAAAAAGGCAGACTATTATATTTTCTCTAAAGGGGAAACATGTTTCTAAAGTCAAACTCAGAGCCTCAGCTCCCTGCCCCCCCCCCCCAGCAGATATTTTGGTGCCAAATTATCTACAAGACAAAGGCTGGGCCAGCTTATCTACAAAACAAAAGACATGGCCCTCAGGACATGATAGGATTAGCCCCCACTCAAGATCCAAAACAGGACAAAGCCATTAAGCCATAATAGGAATTGGCCAAAGCCACTTCATTACATCATCACCCAGCAAGATTCAACCAGGCCTGGGACTTGACAACCTACAAAGTTACCCCTGGATGGCCCCATGGGAGTCTGACAACTAATCAGATACCTGCCCTTACACAGGAACAGGAAGCTCCAAGGCGGGGCTC